TTCATGGGAATGGGAATAACTAAGTCTTTATTGTCTAACCAATATTCCAGTTTATCTTTTTCCTCTCCCTTTTGCTGTTTCTTCCTGAATGTTTTGTACTTTTTGAGTCATATGATTATTTTCTCTATTTCAATATCCTTTATTATTTTGTTGCCATTTATCTTTAAGGGCTTTTTGAATCGCTTTTAGTCTTTGTAAAAGAATAGGCAATTTTTCTTCAGAGGTCATGCACCACCACCTTGTTACTGACCTTCTTTCTATCCAAGAAGGAGTTTCCCTAAGCCAAATAGTTTTTCCTTATACCAAACTTTAGTCTCAATAGTTCCTCGTTTAGGGTTAAAGTCATAAACTCCTGTAAAAGGCAGCAGGGCATCTGTTGAAAGCTATCTTTTCCTTTTGGGGTGAAACCAAGCCTCATTATTAATCACAAATGCAGGTACAAACGAGATCATAGTCATAGGAGGAAGTCATCTATCCTATTACTTTCATTTTGTTTCAGTAACATAATAATTCTGCTAAAGGCAGAGATTTTCCCGGTTTAGTTTCCCATTCCATTATCAGAGTTGGTTATCAGAATATTTAAAGAAGAGAAGGTTATACAAATTACAAAAACCAGGAGTAACTGGGGAAGGGATATCCACCAAAAGGACAGCAGTCATCAGCTTTTGGCTGGAACTTTGTCAAACAGCACTCTTGCCAAGAACCACGGAACTCTTGGAGCCAGCAATTAATAATGAATATATCTCACTCACAATCAAATCACCAAGAGATGATCCTACTGATACTTTAATATTTTACTATGTATTTTTTTGGTCTTTTAAAGACTAAGTCTCCCTGTAGTCCCAACAGGCCTGGAATATACCATATAGACCAGGCTGGCCTCCATCTCAAAGAGATCTGCCTGCCTCTGCCTCCTGAGTGCTGGGATTAAAGGTATGTGCCACCATGCCTGGCAGATATATATATAATCTTAAGGTGAAAAGATGGAAAAAAATATACCAAGCAAATATTTGGTCTTTTTGAGACAGGGTCTCCCTGTAGCCTCAGCTTGCCTGGAACTTACTATGTAGACCAGGCTGGCTTTGAATTCATAGACATCTGTCTGCCTCTGCCTCCTGAGGGTTGGGATTAAGCCTGGCTGATATTTTAATATTTACTTCTAAGTTCCCCTATATTTTCATAAAGCTATGTGTATATGTGTGTGTATATGTATATTTATGAAAATATGTACATTTATCACCGTATATCTACTTCTTGGTTATTTTCTCACTTTATGAAATAGATTCTTTTTGAATGGTAAGGTTTCCATAGTGATAGTTGGATCAGAGAGTCTCTTGAACAACAGCCAAAGAGGTTACCACTGCCAGGTACTCACCATGTTGATTGAGACAGGCATCCTAGGGGCATCCTGGTAGTCCCTTCCTGAGGAGCAGGTGAGTTAGTCTCTGGTTAGCACTGCTAGCCACAGATAAGATCCATTTTACCCTGAGTGCTCCTGTTTCTCAGAGGGCCAAGTTAAGGGGCTATCTACTGCTTTAGCTACCCCTTCCCTGTGCACTATGAAGTGCCTACTCAGCTCTTCAGGCCCTTGTTTTCTCTTTGCACATCCCAGTGGCTAGAGAAAGGGACCTGTGGGTCCAGATGGAGCTTACCTCCGTTCCAAGGAGGGTACTTGTATATAGACTTTGGAGGACTTCTTCCATCCTTGACCTTCTTTCCCATGTACTCTAAGTAAGAACGTGTTGCCTTCCAGATACAAAACCTGTGAGAAGAATGGCTTCTGGTCACCTTCACTGAGATGAGTGGAATAAGGAATGTAAGAGCAGCCTGGGTGGGGCCAGTCCTCACAGGGTAAGGGGTGTCCAACAGAGAAAGGGATGGCCTTGGCCTGGGAGTGCTGCCTACCCAAGGCCGTTCTCCTGAGGCTTTCTCTTCCTTCAGACTCTAGTGAGGGCCTGACCTGTGTGTTTCATAGGGACTTCCTTCTGGAAGAAGGAAAGCTCGAGTCATGAGTTACATTGTGGTCTAAGCATCCCTATTAGTCTTGTCCAGGACAGTTTTAGTCAGTCATGCCATGGTTGTGGCTGTGTACCACATAGAAGACATGGAAGAAGAGAGTTCTGGTAGACCACTGGAGTTGGTGACCAGCTGAGACATCTCAGGACAGTTGCTCAGCCCAACTCTTAGCAGCACAGGTTACAAACTGGGGACACAGGCTACATTTGGTCTGTGGGTATTTTGTTCATTTAATCTTTGTCTTTTGGTTTTCACAGATTTCTTACCATGTTTTCATTTTTAGTTAATTACCATATTTGGAGAGAGATGATGTAAAACTCTGACTGTCTAACTTCTCTCTAAGTAACTGTGCCTCTGTATAGTAATTATGGGATTTGGATATAACAGTAACTGCTCTGGCCTACGTCATGAGGTTCCTCAGCATAAACAGCTATGTCTGCCTAGACAGACTTTCTCCCTCAGGAGCCATGGTCTTCCTCAAGCTTAGGGCAGAAGTCTGGGCCTAAGAATGGTTTGTGTCCTTGATCTAAGCAAGCAGAGGAGGAGGACAGGTGGGGAGCCTAGCATTCTGGTTTTTGGTCTCACCCTACTGTCCATTCTTTAACTCAGTGTGGGATGTAGGGAGCAGAGTAAAAACAACCATCTAAGTTCATCACAGAATTGGAAACTATGGAACACAGGCCTAGGGAAGACAGAGAACTGTTTTCCTGATGTGGCAGTTGCTGGGTAGGAGGATATAGTTACCTTTTCCAGAAGTACATAAGGACAGGGAAGACAGTCATGATAGCCCCATGGAAGATGTTCCGGTCTAGGTGGCCCTCTGTAATGGCTGCAAAGATGATATCCTTCTGAGACTCAGAGATGTTCACCTACCCACAGGGTGGGAGCCTGTCACTGTTAGAGGCTCCAGGAATGGTAAATGACCTCTCTTGACCCCGGTACCCTCAAAACCACCCCTCTCCAGAAGGCAGAGCTTCTTGTGAGCTTGTTAAGCAAAGAATATCTTGTCGACCGACCGAGTGCTTAAGGAGGCACCTGGTGATTCGGTTTTGGAGTTCTTATGGGGAAAAAGGCCACAGTGGGGTGAGAGACTCCTTACCCTCAGCTTGGGAGGAACATCAGAAATGAGGAAGAGCTTTAGGATGATGTTAAGTTTGGAACGCATTAGGCTGATGTCGTTCTCATTGTATGCTCTGTTGATCTGCAGCAAGTGAGCTGAACTCACCAGATTGTTAAATCTACAGAAGAGGCAAGAAGTAAGCAATCAACAAGGGGAAGATGTAAGCAGAGGCTGGACAGGGTGCTTGGCCCAGACTTACTTCTGGCAAAAGGGGAGGGCCAATTCTGAACTTGGTTGTGACTTCATTCATCCAACCCTAGTTCTTCCATTATCAAAAATAATTGAGTGCAGACCATTTATCACATCATATGCCAAGGGCCCCCTCTATTATTTTCTTCAGCACACCCCCATCTTTACTCCTTTCTTTTACCCATCCTAAATGCTTCAGCAGGCTTCACCTACAACTACTTCAAGGACTCGGGTCTCTTTTGCTCTTTCCTCTTCTGTGCCAGCCTGAGGTCAGTTCTGAGATTCGGGTAGATTCCTCTCCTGTGGAGCACCTTAGGCAATAGTAGGTTCAGTCCTCATCCCAGTGGTGACGGGAAGCATTTTTTTTTCAGCAGGAGAGTAACATAATTGACTTCATGCTTTTCACAGGTGTCTCACACAGAATTCTGTACACAGAATTAGTTTGTAGAGGGACAGCCAGAAAGCAGAGAGGCTGGGGTGAGAATGGGGTAGGCAGAGGCTGCCAGCCCCTGGCCGTCTCTCAGGGCTTCCTACGACTTCCCTTTACATACCTTGCTCTGTGATTAAGCCCTTCAAAGTTCACTCTGTCTCTTGGCTTCAGGGCCAAGACGCCATGCTTGAGGACTCAGTTGTCTCATTGTATTTCCTGTGCCTAACTCTGCCTAGAACCTGGTATCCCAAGAAAACTTCCCAGCTTGTATTTGTGTCTTGTCTACCACCCTCATTAGTTTGTGGGATCATAGAGAGTAGAACTCATATCTATAATGCCAAATCCTGTGCTCAATAAAAAGGAAGCACTTATGACATGTTGAGAGTCCTTCCTTGGAGTGCAGTGGATCACGCTCCCCTAACTGATATGTGAATCATCAGACAATCTGCATTTCTGAGAACCACACTGACTAGTGTCCTTGGCAAGGCCAGCAAAAACTACTAGGACATCCTTAGTTTTCTCTTACATGTCTAGTAGAGATGTTTACCAGGAGTTACTAATTTTTTCAAATATTTTTCTTGGTTGTACTTTTTTGCTCTAATTTTTGACATATTCATATGATAAGACATGAATATAAAAATATTTGTTGATTCTATGAAAATAAGCTTGATGCTCACCTGTAATCCCAGCCTTGGGAAATTGAGGCAGGAGGATCTCAAGTTCAGGCTGGCCTGGGCTACATAGTCCCTTAAAGAGGAAGGGCGAGAGAGAATGCTTTGAAACATGCTAATAAATGTGACTATTATAACTTAAAAAATCTCTTTAGTTAGGTATGGCAAAAGAAATTTAAATTATTGAGAAAATTAGTATGAAAGTCCAGAAGATTTTGGCTAGGGATATAACTCAGTTGTACAGCTCTTGTCTCACATGGGTAAGGCTGAAGGATAAATGTGTCAGCTTGGAAAGCCCTAGCTATGTTGAGATACCCCTGGCCCAGAAACTGAAACCCCAACCCCCAACCCAGTGACTGTGCTACCTGGGAAAACATAGGCCAGCACTCAGTGTCCCAACCCCCCAAACCATTACACCAGCACTTACTGTCAAAAAACACAGGACTTCAGAAAAATACCTGGTCTCTCCTCCTAAGTCCCATAAAAACTGAGACCGACTGAGCTTTAGGGCCCCAGTTTGGATCCTGCGGAGAAACCACGGTCCTTCATTGTTCTAATAAAGAACCATCTACTCCTGAGGTCCGTCTCGTGTTTCACTTTCACGTCGCCCCGGTCAATCCTGATCTAACATTTTTTAACAGAGGCTGTGGGTTGGATCCCCAGCCCTCTCCTTACAAAAATAAAATAAAATAAAATAAAAAAATAATAAAAGCAAAAGATTAAGTTTTCTGCACTGATATTTACATTTTTGTTCTACTTTAAGAAAAACTGAAATTAGAGTTGGTTGACAGTATTGGGGGTATTAAAATTTATGCAAGAATAATATATGGACTCCCTGTTAGTGGATTGACTTTACATTCAAATTTTGGCAGGTGAGTGAATGTCCATGAACATGTTTCAACTTAAAAAATATCTGCTTAATGTCACACACACACACACACACACACACACACACACACACACACACACCAAAAAAAAAAAAAAAAAAATATTTCTCTTCTGACAGTCTCTGGTTTTAACTGAAGAACTGTTGGTCCATTGAGATGAACTCCGTCATATTTATAGACAATAGGGAAAAATGATCCACTTCCTGGGAAAAAGAAGTGCATTACAGCATTGGGGGTTCCAGAATACTAAAGAGCTTTGAGGCCCCAAAGGAAAGAAAGGTGGAAATTGTTAGAGTAACAGAAGTCAAGGACATTTCAGGAGCTGCTTGTCTGGCAGAGCTTCAAATCATTGTGCTTCTGACGTGTCAAGCCAACTTGCATGTGTGTGTGTGTGTGTGTGTGTGTGTGTGTGTGGCGCACGTGGAGGTCAGAGGACCTCCGATTCGCCAATTCTGCTAGGCTGCCTAGCGATTGAGCCCCTTCTATGTCTGCTTCCTCACGGCTTGAATTACAGGTGCGCACTGCTATGCCCAGCTCCTCACAACCACCTAGTGGATGCTGAAGGTTGACCTTAAGTCCTTAGACTTGGGCAGCAAGCACTTCACTGACTGAGCAGTCTCTCCCCAGCCCCTGCAAGGAGGTTTTAAATGTGAAAACCATGAGAAGAAGGAGAGATGGAAAACTTACTTCTCTATTTCAGAAAAGAAATACAAATCATTAATTGCAAAGTTGACAGTGATAATCCTGTGGCCAAATATCCGGCGTTTTATGAGAGTTATTTCTCCATTCTCCTGTTCTGTATTCTGGGCACCGGGGGACACTGGGGTATGATGTGATGTTGCAGTGGGTGATGCCGAGAAATCTAGAAGAGAAAGAGTAAGGAATTACAATCTGGTTTGAACTAGTCACTCTAGGTCCTAAGCCTTCAACCTAGGTATGATGCCTGTGGACTTGCCTTTTGCCTATTGAAAGAGTCATGCTCTATCTTTGGGTGTAGCCTTTCTCTTGTACTAGAGTGACTGCTGTAAAAGGTGTGTCTACTCAGGTGGTGTGACAACACTCATGCCAAAAAATTGATTATTAATTTAAAAAGCAGCCGGCTGTTGAAGGATACTTGGTACTTGTCCAACAGAGAAGCAATGCTGCAGCCTATGCTGATCCATAAGGCTCTTACAGAGACAGCGAAAACTGCATATGCAGACATGACCTTTCAAAGGGAATGTGGTTCTCATGATACTCACTCGAGGTTCATCAGGAAAGTCATTTAGGAGTAAATTTGTAAAACAGGAGGAAAGAAAATACCAAAGTGAGAGAAAAGTTTGTTAAATGAAAGAATAGAAAGTTAAAGTAGAAAATGCAAAGTCTCAAATGTGGGGCTCAAGGGGACACCGAGACAGATCATCGGGTATAAGAAGTTTGTTAGAAGCATTGTTAATGCTGTGGGCAGACAGACAACAGCATGATGGGAGCCGTGGTTCTAAGGAGAATCAGACCCAAGGGGAGCTTCTTATAGATCTCTGAGGAAGGAGGGAAAGGTTTCACAGCAGTAGCCTGTAGCTAGGCTGTCTCTGATTCCTCAGCTGGTGGCAGATAAGGACAGACTGGGGGGCGGGGGGCAAGGGTGCTGCCATTGGTAACCCTTTGATATCCCCAGTGAGCCAGGAAACCTCACTTGAGACACCTGTTAGGAAGTCACAGACTCACTGGCAGGCTGTCAGTATTTGACACTGGAAGATGGGAGGGCTGATCCAAGTGCTACGGCCTGAGGAGCAATCCTATGCCCCTTCTGGGATGAGGCATCATGTTCTGCCCTGTACTTATGAACCCAGGACCAGGAAACCGAGGCACAAAGTCATTTTCCTTTTTTTTTAGTATTTTATTTGTTATTTTTATTTTATGAGTGTATTGCCTGCATGTATGTGAGTGCACCTGTGTCATGCAAAGCCACAGAGGTCAGAAGAGGGCTTCAGATTCCCCTGGAACTAGAGTTAAGGATGGTTCTTAGCCTCCATGTGGGTGCTGGGAATCAAAACCAAGTCCTCTGCAAGAGCAGTCAGTGCTCTTAACTACTGAGCCATCTCTCCAGCCCCAAAGTCATTTTCTTGAGTCATGCCACTAGAAAGCGGCAGATAAGTGCTGACACCTGTAGTTCCTGCTTCCTGGATGAAAACACAAGTGCCGCCAGGGCAAAGGAGTAAATTTGTCTATTCACCCGGTAAAGTACACTGTAAAGGTCCCAAATTGTCATGGATGAAGGAATTAATGAATGAAGCAACTGAACAAATCTATCTAGTGGACACTTTATGCCAGTCAAAAGCTAGCTAGCTAGATGTGTACTGACAGAAAATGATGTTCAAGATTAAATATTAAGGAAAAAAGTAAATTACAAATAAAAAGTATGAAAACTAAATATTAAGGTATACACACACCCCACACACACATATAAGCAGAGTGTAGGCTTTCAAAGCATTAGCAATGTTATCTCTTTAGGGATTTTCATTTTGTTAGGGTTCCAAACAGCAGCAGTTTCCCCCCCTCCCCAACAGGGACCTCACCTTGACCTTTGAAGTCAAGGGAAACAAACTCTGCTGAGAAGCAGCCTGCCTCTCCTCTGATCTCCAAAGATAAGATAAGCAGATTCTACCTGATAACCAGAGATTTTAGAAGTTGTTTATCATAACAGCTTTTCTCTTGCCTTAAGAGGGAAAAAGTAAACACTTCCAGACCCTAATCCTACCTGCTTTTCTTGCTTCCCCCTCCCTGATTTCTCCCCCAAACATTCCCCCCTTCCACACCCTAAAGCCCCCATATATAAAGTCCCAGCTCACAGCCCATGGGCTGACATCTTTCCCTTCCCCGAGGGAAAGGTGCCCTGTGCGAAATAAATCTGTATCCCGCTGAGAATTCTATCTGTGCCTCAGTGCCTCCCTCCATCCACTCGTGCTCTCCACTGCATGCTCTCTCTCCCAACATTTTTAACCTATCACATTTGTGTACCATGTATTCTTGTACTTTTTGTTCCCTGTAAGAAAGTTCAGAGATTAAAATCTTTTGATTTATCCATTTTTAAATTTAGATTTTATTTTATTTATTATTTTGAGACAGGATCTCCTTATAGCCCCAGCTAACCTGGAACTCACTATGGAGAATAAACTGACCTCACTCTCACAGAGATCTGCTTGCCTCTGCCTCCTGAGTGCTGGGATTAAAGGAGTGTGCCACCATGTCCTTATTTATTTTTATTTTATGTGTATGAGTGTTTTGCTTGCATGTTTGCAGGTGTACCATGTATATGCAATGCTCGAAGAAGCCACAAAAGGACATCAGATCCCCTGGAACTTGAGTTAAAGGGTGGTTGTTATCTGCCACGTGAGTACTGGGAACCAAACCCAAGTCGTCTGCAGGAGCAGCCAGTGTTCTTAACAGCTGGGCCATTGTTCCAATCACAGTTCAAAGATTTTTAAAAGACCAAATTACAACAAGGAAATTGTTTCATAAAATGTGAGGCCTTCCTGCTCCAGTGAATGGCCCCACACTCATGAGTATACGGGCAACATGAACTGTACTCAGGATTTTTTTTTTTTTTTAAAAAAAGGACATGGAATTTGGAGGGGGGGTGGGGGGGGGGGGGGGGGGGGCGTGGATCTGGGTGAGGAGTGGGGGTGAATCAAACTAAAATCCATTATATATATGTATGAAATTCTCAAAGAATTACTAAAAATATTCCTTTTTTAAAGTGACATTTTAATGACTTGGACATTTTTCACACTTGCTGGCTCCCAGAGCCACTGTCCAGGCAGGCCTGGTGCCTGCTGGGATCCCAGAACCAGGAGCTCTTGCTGTCACTGGGTCTGATACAGGCCTGACCCAAAGCAAGGAGCTTGGAGTTTCTTACCTGGGCTGATCCTAGGGACAGGCAAGGGGAGTAAACAGAGAAGTGACTCACTCTCTTTGGCGTTGCACATTTCCAGGTGGAGAAAGTCTATAAACTGCTGGCGTTTCTTGGGATTCAGCATATATCTTCGGTAACTGCAGAAGCTCTTGATGAAGTTCATCATTTTCAGCCAGACTTTCTTCTGTGGAGAGAAAGGGACAAGACATATTCATTAGCACTGCTGCTGTTCACCAAGTCTACAGTGTGCCACAAATAGCATTCAGTAGGTTTCAAATCCTCACTGCTACAAAGGAAAACTTTGTAGTTCTCATTTTAAAGGTGAAGACATTCAAATCGGAGAGTTTGTTTAACCTGCCTTAGATGAAGTAGTTGGTGACTAGAAGATTCTGAATCAGTCAGACATAACTGAGGCCTTTCAACAGTTAGGGTGAGTGCTCAGAACAGGAAGTAACAGAGGTCAGAGATCAGTGCAGCTCAAAGAAGGGAGAAAACTACAAGTGCCAGTTTTAGGAAAACTGAAGTATTCAAGAAATAAGGAAGCAAGGAAAATGTATATGCCCCCCACTCCCCAACATGGTGCATAGGCACATGCATTTTATGTGTCTCTGTACTTGTCTTTTAAAAAAATATTTATTACTTATCATTTTTTATTTTGTGTGTATGAGCATATTGCCTACATGTATGTAAGTGTACCTGTGTCATACAGTGCATGCAGAGGACAGAAGAGGGCATCGGATCCCCTGCAACTGGAGTATAGATGGTTGTTAACTGCCATGTAGGTGCTGGGACTCAAACCTGGGTCTTCTGTAAGAGTAGCCAGTACTCTTAACTGCTGAACCAACTCTCCAACCCCATGCACTTGATTTAATGGGTACCCAGTGGTCATTTTCTAGTTCATTTTCCCCTAGAGGAACTGATACTTTGAGTCAGAAAGAAACTTGCAGATCACAGAGCTCATTTGCCTCAGTTCACTGAAAGGGAAGGCCAAGGAAAATGTGGCTTCAGAGAGTTGATGGTGAAAGAGTACTTTAGTGATCAGGGCTTAGAACTCTTGGTTCTGGAACCCAGTTTCTCAGGGTTGTGGTGTGGCTCAGTGTGTATGCGTGGAAACTCTAACATAGTGCTATGGCACACAGTAGGTGGCAAGCACATGCTGGCTTCCTTTTATCTGACCTAAGAGTCACTTGAAGACTTAAAATTGAAGCAAAGTTCTCTAGTTCTGAATACATCTTCTTTCAAACATCTTATTCCATTATTCGTGGTGTCCTGACAGAGCTGGCTTATAAATGGAGAAAAGAGAGAGTCATACATTTCAGTATTGGGGTTGATGGGTTTAAATCTTATTTTTAGATATATCTTTTTATTTTTTGGTCTTTTTGAGATAGGGTCTCCCTGTAGCCCCAGCTGGCCTAAGATTCACTATATTGATCAGGCTGGCCTTCATCTCACAGAGATTTGCCTGCCTCTGCCTCTTGAGTGCTGGAATTAAAGGCGTGTGCCACCACGCCTGGCTTAGATATATCTTTTAAAAAATATTTTATTTATTATTTTTATGTGTATGAGTGTATTGCTTGCATGTGTGTAAGTACACCCATGTCATGCAGTGCCTGTGGAGGTCAGAAGAAGGCGTCAGATCCTCTGGAACTGGAGTTATAGACGGTTGTTAGCTGTCATGTGGGTACTGGGAATTGAACCTGAGTTCTCTATAAAAGCAGCCAGTGCTTTTAACCACTGAGCCATCTCTTCAGCCCCTTGGCTTAGATATATCTTAGCATGATCTTTGGAGTCTGACAGAATTGGGCTCCAACCTTTCCCTCTAACTCCAAGACACACAGATCATGAGATTCTTGAGGGGAGCATCTACTTTTTCAAAGCATTTGAAAGGAGCTTCCTGAGTAACATTCTTGTTCTTCTTTTTCTCTCTTCCTATGGGACAAAGAATAAGCTGATAGTTGTGTTTAGAAGAAGGAACCGGGCATACTTTGTGTTGGCCCTTGGCATTATCTGTCTGGGGATGGTTGATCTGTGGGACACTCAATCCAGTCCTTCCTGTCATACTGTAAGGGGCTTACCCTGGTGTATGGAGGCTTAAGTTGCCAGTGACTGGATATGTAAGTCACTCTAACTTGGATGTAGGAAGACTAGCAAAACCATTTGATTTCATGGCCAATCCATGTCCTCCAAATAAGCATGCTGCAGTAAAAACACTGACAATTTCTGTGAGATGCCCAACCCTAAGTGACATATCTAAAATGGAACCTCTACACCTAAGGCTTATGGAACATAGTGGACTGGGAGGCGAGGGGGGGCGTGCAGGGCGGGGGGATACTAGTGCATCTCTCAACTCTCACCAGTGAAGCTTCCTTATGTAACAGAGGGCAATTAACACAGAAGGCCACAACTGGCCAAAGTGTAGAGAATAAGAGACTGTAGAGTGCATGTCCCTGGATAGGACTCCTATATTAAACTTTACCCACCCAGGGCTCAGGGACCATTGCAGAAGAGGGGGTGGAAAGACTGTAAGAGCCAGAGGTAGTGCATGACCACAAGAAACAGAGTTTTCCAGGTAGCTGGGAATTTGTGCATATGAACTTACAGCAATGATGATAGCATGCAAAGACCCATGCAAAGTCAAGCAGACAGAACTCAGCACAGAGCTGGGGAAATAGGAAGGAGGCCCCAATCTTAGCTGAGGAAAGGTTGGCAGCTGATTACTTCTGGGTGAAAGAGAGTGAAAGAGAGCTGATCTTCTTTAAGGGAGGGATGCTAGATGGGCTGACCAGACTCCAGTGGAGGAATGCATATGAAGGGACATCTGGGGACACAAACTTGACTTGCTAGGCCTTAATATACAGAGCTGGGGAAATAGGAAGGAGGCCCCAATCTTAGCTGAGGAAAGGTTGGCAGCTGATTACTTCTGGGTGAAAGAGAGTGAAAGAGAGCTGATCTTCTTTAAGGGAGGGATGCTAGATGGGCTGACCAGACTCCAGTGGAGGAATGCATATGAAGGGACATCTGGGGACACAAACTTGACTTGCTAGGCCTTAATATATAATTAAAAAAAACCCAAAACACTGACAGATCAATCTCCACATGTCTAACCCTTATGTCTATAACTTGGTGTCAGTCACAAGCAGAGCAGAGGGACTTCCCAGTACATTTTTTTTTTTCTGAGCCTCAGATTCTCCCTTTGTAAAATGGGGCTTAAAAAATCTGCCCTCCCCCAGGAATAATTGTTTGAGTGATTAAATAGGTTACCAGTGATAATCTTTTGTGCAGTTCATAGTGCCTGGACAATGGCTTTCCTGGTGGTAATGTCTTTTCTCTTTCTCACTGACCTGGGATTCTTGTAGGTGTGTTACTGACTTTGAGGGCTTCTTTGGGAGGGTCTGCAATTCAGTTTCCATGTCCAGAGAACGTGGTGGGAACAGGTCTTGGTATTCTTTAAACCTGCCAGAAGGGAGAGAAAGAATATCAGAAAAAAAAAAAAAACCAAAACCATAGCACATAACACATAACAGTCAAGGCAAGCCTTGTGTCAAGTCAGCTTCTAGAAGAAGCACTGTAGGAATGGAGACCCATTCAAAAGTACTCTTCTTTCCATTCCAAGTCTTCATAATGTCAGTCTGTCTTTCCTGATCAGCACTGTATGCTTCCTCATTTGGTGGGTGTGGGTGTGGATTTGGGGGCTATGTAGGTAGACAGGAGATTTTGAGGTAAGTGTGGCTTTTTCTGACAGTGTGCTATGAGCATTAATTGACTTTTACTTAATGTGGCTTTTAAAAGTCAGCAAGCAGCTACAGAGAGAATCCTGCCTTCACTGCTTTGCTCACCACTTTTCTTCCAGAGATTTCATGACAAAGCCTTGGAGCATCAGCAACGTGGTAGTGTTGATATTACGCATGTGAACGATATCTTTGATAACAGGAACATCCCACGGCAGCATTTCTTCTAAATGAGAGGGGAAAGAGAGTGAGAGATTGAAAATGAAAAGTCATCATTTCTGCCACTGTTTGGAGGTATCTGGGGCTCTTCTCATGTGAGAGACTCATGGCCCTCTGTTCTAACTCTGAGCTCACTCTGAGCCTTCCACAATTTGAAAATCTTCAAAGCCTATTTGGAATGTTATGAGCAAGTGTATTTGTAGATAAAGTACTGTCTTAATTAGTCCCATTTAAATTCCAAAGATGAGTGCTTCAGGGAAATTAAAAAATTGAAGGACTCATTTCTGGAGCTAGTGTGAAGTTTTTGGTTTAGGGAGAGGTAGAAGAGTAAAGGATTAAAATTAAACTGTTGGGTCCAGAAGGGGACTCCAAGATTTCAGAGATGCACTAAAGATAGTATGATACTCCTTGTGTTCAGAGGCTGGTGGGTTTTTAAGGGGGACTCGCAGTTACATCATAGGATATGGACACTCACTCCTTTCTCTCTTAGCTTCTTCAAAATCATGTATAGAACTCAACATCCTGAAATCAACGAATAAACACTTTCTGTAAATTAAGGCTTGCTGGGGGGGGGGGGGCACGACGACGATGACCATGACGACACATGGACACGACACCTGCCTGTTATTCTCATGACTTTGGAGGCAGAGGCAAGAGGTTTGAGAATCTGAGGCCAGCCTGGGCTCTATTGTGAGTTCCAGGCCAGCCTGGGATATTTAGCTAAATCCTGTCTCAAAACAGAGATTTGCTAATTTTGAGCTCTTTCTGTCTCTGTATTTATGCCCTTATCTTGGATAACAGTAAAGAAAGCAAGACTGAACAAAAACTACCAAACAAACAAGTAACACCCCGCCCCATACACCAACCCCGTCGAGTCGCTCCTCTGTGACATTGCTTTTTGGCCTGCCTGTCTGCCTCCTGGATGGCACTGCCTTCCCCTTTTGTTTTTCTGTAGAGTTACAGGTTAATATTTTACTTGCAACCTCTACTTCTAGCTAAGATGGATTTGCATGGGCCAAGTTTATCCCCACCTCAGACAAGAAGACAAGACAAAACGTGAAAGATTTTCAGACAGTTCTTCCTGGTACAGCTCTCTTCACATTCGTGGGTGGAGAACTCGAAGGTTGCTTACAGCCAACCCTTGCCTTTGCCTATAGCTCGGGACCAGTTAATGTGATGATCAAATGATTTGAATTTACATTCAAGTTCCACAAATCAAATAAGCTAGTTAATTTCCACGTGTTCCGCTTTCTTCATCCAGAAAACGCAGCTATTTGACTCTATCTCACAGGGATTAAATACCATTCTTTTGCACTTGGCTCCTTTTACCAGTGTTATGGCTTTGGACTTCCTATTGTTCTCTGTGTTCATTTTCATAGTCTTTATGTCTCCGTATTGCTCCCGCGTGGCTACTGTTCCCTTCTGCTCTCTAGGGGCTTTTGTTAAGCCAGGCTGTTTCCCAGATTTCCCTAAGAAGCTGAGGGGAGAATCAGGAGAAAAGGATGCATACCAGGAGAAACTTTGCCATGGCAGTAAGTCTTGATTATATTTTCCAAAGCAGACTTGTACATCCTTTCATTGGTCTCCATACTGATCTTCTGTATAGCTATCAGGAATTGGAAAGGGGTTTCAGCCTTCCGTTCTTTCAGGAACTCCTTGAAGTACTCCAAATGTTGATTGTTTAGGAGAACTTCAGTCATGTTTCTAGAAAATAAGAGCACACCATTGGTGGAGAGAAAGGGATAAAGACCTGGCCTCTGTTCTGATTAGGAAATGTGAAGTGCATTGGTCAGAGTATAGAGCCCCTAGCATGTATGAAGAGATGGCAGATGAACTGGCTAAATCTATTTCCTCAGATGTGAATTTGAGCTTTTATCCATTCTTCCTAAACTTAGCTATATCCTTTTATAACGTCAATAAGAGAAGAGGAAGTATTTTTAAAATATAGTGTTATTAATTATTTGAGACTTTTATACATGTGTACAACACATTTTGATCATGCTACCCCCCCATACTCCCCTCCCCATCCTCCCTCAATGCCTCCTGGATCCACCTTCCAAGGAAGAGATATTTTAAAAGGAACTTTTCTCCCAAAGGGAAGTTTTTATGCTGTGAATTCCAAATAACTGTCAATTGGCACAGTTATTTCTGTGAATAGAGCACAACTGACCATATTAATATATTAATCCATATTTCTTTTTTTAAGAATATTTTTATTATTCCAAAAAGAGGCAATTTTGAACACATTTTTCCAGAAATAACTTGAAGCAGGTTATATAAAAATATATATATATATATATATATATATATATATATACACACACACACACACACACAC